TCTACATGCAGAACGCGTCGAGAGCACTGTTCGAGACCTTGGAATGCATGAGCGAAAGCTCTTGCAGGCGCGACGTGACCATGGCAAAGTCCAGCGGAAATGCATCGAGGGGTCCGTCGAGCGCGAGTTCTTCGAGGTTGGGCATCGTTGGTAGGCGTTGCAGGACCATGCGAGGTCAACGGAGCCTTTTGGTGGGAGCCGTATGAGCGTGGCGGGGTCAAGATGGCGCACGAGCTGGCGGCATGCATATGCTCGTCGATCGCAAATCGTGTCAGATGCGGCAGCGGCTTGGTACCGAGCGCCGTCGCAAGGCCGTGCGGCCATTTGATGTAGAGGGCCACCACCGACGAAGTCGTTGCGACCAAATTGACGACCGCGGCACTTTGTGCACGCACGCTACCGACAATATGTGACCCAATGAATCTGTGCCAATACCAAGTGGAGTCGGCCCTGTAATCGCGCAGTGAAAACCATTTACTGTAGCACTCTAGTTGAAAATGTAAGTTAGTTGGCCTCACGCAAGGACGCTAGTCGATAGTCGGTGCCAAGCATGGTACGCGTGGCGGACACGCGAACGCGATACGTGTCGGCCAGCGTAGTTGTGGTGAATCGGTCATAGTCTTTGTCGATGTACCGACAACTATCGTAGTAGGTCAATTCGACGACGCCACCGACGCTGCGTCCGGCGGCCGCCGCGAGTTGCTCAAAGCCGTCTTGCGTCAGCGTATCGTAGTCGGCCACTTCGATGCGCACTGGATGTGTCCGGCCAGCGAGCGCCGTCGCCAGCACCGCTGCGCAGGCTGCGTCCAGATCGTAGCGATGCAAGGTCACGTGGCGCAGTGACGTCGCGTGTCGAAAGCACCGAGCGAGCGCGTCACCCAGGCTGGCTTGCGAGGCGTCTATCAAGCAGGAACTGACGATTGAGACGCGGTCGAGAACCGGGCAGCGCGCCATAAAGTCCAAGAACGCGATGCGCGTCATGGGGCTCCCCATCTTGATGACGCACAAGTCGAGCGTATGCAGCGCCGACGATCCCTTGAGCGTCGTCGAGACATTGCGCAGTGCGTAGGCTTTGAGCGAGAGCTCTTGCAGCGCCGGGAGCCGCGGTAACGTCGCTAGTATTGAGCTGACATCTTGCGCCATGCGACCGTTTTGTGCCATGTGCCCACAAAAATCGAGGCCCGTCACCTTGTCCATCGACAGAAGCTTGACGAGACGCAGTTCGTTGCTGGTGGTGTTGCCGTTGACTCGGACCTTGAGCTGCGTGACGCTCGAGAGCCGTGTTTGCGAGGTGAGCAAGACGTCGATGACCTTGTCCGAGTCGATGATTTCGAGGCGTGTGAGCGATGGAGCCAATGCCAGTGCGGCTGGAAGCCCTTCGACCAAGCTACTCGTGATGTTGTCAAACACCAATGACGTGGCATGACCAGAGCGCAGCCACGGCGTCAGTGCTGACGTGAGATCGAGGACGGTGTTGCCGTCGTCCCACTCCATCTCTTCGATCACCAAGCGACGTACACAGAACCGTGGCGACACCAGAAGTGCGAGGACCTCACCGGCACGCGGCCACGTCACGTCAAGGCGGACATCGTCGAGCCGCGTGCAGGCATGCAAGAGCCGGACGAGCTCGTCATCATCGGTGGGTGTCGGCTGCCGAGTGATAGTGAGCGTGCCGAGCTTGGTCGGCCATTTCACGAGAAAACTCAAAAACGC